TGAACCGCTAGCAGAGGTTGACCCACAACATATGTATCTCTTACTACTGATTCCTCAAATATAATGATGTACTCTAACTCATACCCCAACAGTAGAGACTCCTGCATTGTTTTAGTAAGAAACCTGTGAGCTTCTACAAATGTAACATTGATTACAGAGATCCTAGAAGTAGTGCTCTTCTGTGCCAAGTTTTTCACAGATACTCGTGGGGAAGCACAGAAATACAGTGTTTCCACTTTTCTGGTTACTGTTTTTACTTTGCCTGTCTCAGCTGGCAGATCTTAAAAGGGCCCATAAATACTATTTTATATAAATATAACTTGATGTATATACTCCCTCCCCCCACAGGACACTAAAGTCTATACAAACAGAAAGAGACAGTGGGACTCAATGATTAACAAAAATGCTCAAAATTCTGCAAAGGATATGTAGCAGAAGCAGATACACTTTCTAAAGCCACATTCTGAAGCTGAAGGCCATTCAGTTATGTATCTTGCCTACAAAGAATGGCTTGAATATCAGAGACCACCACAACAGCACTCATTCTGCAGTTTGAAGAGAACTACAGGTGTGCTACAAATACAGTGGGAGTCCTTTAAAGCCCTGAATCCCAGGCTTCTGGTTCTCCAGCCATAAAGAAGGACAGAATATCCTGCTGATTGTACTCCTGAACAACTCTCATTTGAAGCCAACATATGAGGAACATGAGAATGTGGTCCAAAATAGGCATCAGGACCATAATGATTTAACAACAAAATATTGGTAGGCTTGTCACTAGGATGAGGCAAGGTATATGAATCCCAAGTATAGCATGAGAAAATTGTTCTATGATAAGCACAATATAAGTGGTGGTAAAGAAGACTTGCTTTGTTTGGGGGGGAGGGTGTTGAGCCCTTTTACTTACAGAGAAACAAAATCTTTGGAGAAAATTACCTAAACAGGTAATAAAATATTTTTTGAAACTGTCTGGATAAAAACCTATCAGTATTTTAAAGTGAATGTAAGAAACAGAAACCTTAAAATTAACTACATCTTTATTTAACTGTTACTTCTGCAACTTTCCTTTTACTAGATGTGATACTATCCTGTACATTTAAACTGAATTACTCCTATAGTGTATACAGGCAAAAATGTTTAGAACATATAATAAAACACACATTGAAAAAAGAAGACAAAGTAAACAGCTTGTCTAATGTACATGCATGCTTTATATATGGTTATATACATAAGCTTATATACCTGTTGTCTTGCAGGGGAGGGGCAAGAAGAGCGAAGCCACCATCTCGTGATTGCAAATACTGACATGTGTTATTGGAAACTAGAGGGGAAAAGAATTTCCAGTCTTCTAGTTTCATGTCACTGATGTGAGGAAGATAACTTGGCAAAATGCTTTACCATATTCCTGATGAACCCTACCATTTATAAAAAATCAAATCCTCTGCTGCAGCTCTAGATTAAAGAGATGACCTAAAAAGAAATAGTCAAGAACTCTTGGCTATTTGCTCACACTTCTTGACAGAAATAGGACAATGCCACTCTTCAAATAAGTTCTTATTTGTTTGTTACACCTTTTGATGGGTTTATCTCCCGCCATCCAATAATGGATAACTTTTCTGGTGAAATCAGTCATGTCAGGCCTGTAAATGACAGCATGGTTGTGGGGAATCTAAGCAACACAACCAGGAGAGCCATGTTGATAAAAGGAGCTTTTAGAGCTTTGCAAAATTGCCTCGCTAAGCCACAGTTGGAATGGATGGGATTGATTTTTATTTTTCCTTTTGATTTCTAGGAAATGTGTTTAGTCTACAGATATTTTATTGCACTGGGAGTTTCCTATAGGTGAAGAAAAAATCAGTTATCTGTCTATTATACATATAGTGCAGCTGTGTCCCAACATAATTAGTATTTTATTTCAACTGACTTGATAATCTCAGACTACGTACCTATACATACATAACAGGACACTAGGAAAAGAAAACAAACCTTTATAAAAAAAAGCTATTCTAAAACAGCTGAGCAGGTTAAAAATAAGATGAGTATTCAGGATTAAAGAATTTCTATATTAAAGTATGCTATATGCTCTTTCAAAGATCCCGCTGAATCCAACTGGCCTCTACCTGGAACCGACATTCTGCAAAGAACTTTCTGCAAAGAGTTTTGGTTGCAGAATCTCCAATTCTGCAAAGAGAACCTCTACGAGCACAGTCCTCCTCTTATCTACGCTTGTTCTTTGCTGCACTTAAATTCAATTTGCTTTAACCCAATTAATTTAATCATACACCAGTGAACTTGGTACCAAAAACTGGCTTCTAGATTTTCTGTGAAATAACTGGAAGAGTATCTTAAACGGGAATTTCTTAAGTACTTTTACAGAGAAGGAGGAAAAAACACAGGGACTATTCTCTTAGTCAGCTTGCAGCCTGTGGTTAAAATGAGGAAAAAGGGATGGACCAAGTTTTTTGCAGGAGCCTCTGTCACTCATGGAGACAATGTCCCAGCAATCAGCAAGGGTGACGAACTACCACTGAGGGAGGAACTCAGCAGCAGCTGGGAACCGGAAAGAGCTGCCTTTGCAAATCTTGTTTGCTATATTTTTGATGGGTTTATCACCTGCCAGTTGGTAATGTGTAACTCTCTTCCTTATTTATC